ATTTTATGGGATGTTTTCCTTAAGCTCTTGAGAAAAGAGTGTTTGAGGTCTGAGCTGAATTGACAAAATGCTGTAGGGGCAAAATGTTCAAGCGAGAAGTGGAAGCTTTGTCCACCTTGCAGGCCTGATTGCTGGCAGCTGCCCTCCTCGCAGCCCAGCGGACATAAACCATTAACACATTGACCCCTAATGAAGGACTGGAACGTCCATCTCGCCCTCCTCGAGCCCAGGGTGGCACTGCCTGCGGGTTGGTCTTCTCTGCAGACCCTGTCTGGGCTGGGATGGCTTTTGGGCAGCTGCTGTTAAGTTTCCAAGGTGACTTACTCTGCTCTAGGGTCCGCATCAGAAACGTCTCTGAGCAAAGCTTGGCTGGTGCAGTTTTATTAGTACTGACCTTCCTGATCCAGACGAGGCCTAGAGCTTTTGTTTGGTTATTTGTGCCCATTTGTGTACTGTGAATGCTGAGGTTCTCACACCTTGCCGTGACCACCAGCCCGGCGTACAGCAGGCTTTAATGTTGGGGAAGAGGCTGTTGATTTGAGCGATCCTGTGAACACGAGGCTCCTGCTGCATCCCGAGCTCTGCAGATGTGGCTGGAGCCAACTGGCATGCTGCGAATTCTCATCTCACGCTGGTGGATGTTTTGAAGCGTGTATTTTTGTGCTCTGGTTGTTTCAGGTCCCACTATGGGAATGCAGGCGCGGGGAGGACTCTGGCTGCAGGCACCCAATGGCATCCGGGCTTGAGTGGCTCTTGTCCTCCTTTCCTTTTAATCTCATTCTAGCGTGACTGGAGCGAGAGCTGAGCAGCTCCGCTACTTTTATCCCATAACACAGCGTGCTTTCGGCATGGCCTCTTGGGGCGATGAGGCGGGGGAGCCCTGCCTCTCCGCAGCCCCGGCCGCCTGCAGGCACAGCCTCAAGCAGCGTGTGTCTGCGCCTCCCCCACCACGCTCCACTAACCCCCGTGCCCTGCTTAGGCGGCCGCAGCCAGCCAACTGGGTCTGCTTTCTCGCTGGCTTTGTTCCCGTGGAATATTGTCTCCCTGCTGCATATCCCTCTGCCACGCAGAGCTGGCTCCGATGTCCTTGTGGAAGAGTTGTCGGATTTTAAGAATCCCATTGCTCATTCTCGACTGACAGCTGCCAGCGACCGTGTCGCCCTGAGTCCCCACTGTCCATTCATTGCTGCGCCTCGTGCAGGCTCCGTGGAGCTCTGACAAATGCTGGCAGTGTTTTGGGCAGCTGCTGGAGCTGGAGCCAGGCTCGGGAAGGGGCTGGGGAGCCCCGAGCCCACCTGTTCCCGCACACAGGCACCCCTCTATCTCCAGGGCGTTTTTGTCATGGCTGTGGGTCGCTGTGGTCAAATTACAGACTTAGCTGCTGCCTGCATGCAGCTCAGGAGCTCTGGTTAATCTGATGGCCTCTTAATCTTTCTTTTTGCCCTTTCTGTTGCCGTTTGTCATCCCAGTGAGTTCTGTTTAGGAGTAAGTCATTCCCCGGGAAAGCCAGGCAGGGTGAAGCCAGTCCTGTGTCTTTGTTCGTGGCTGAGCAGTGGGTGTGCAGTGATCCCGGTGCCAGCTTGCTGGAGGGCCCCATCCACTCCCGATCCCACTGTCCCTTCTGGATTTCACCCTTGGAAGTGGTGATGCAGTCCGTCTCCGGAGGGTGTTGTAGCACACTGGGTACATTTAGCAGTTAGCGTGTCAAGTCAGGATATCTTAAAGAGCCTTTGCTGACATCTTCTTGTGGCAGGGATCAGAGCGGGGAGGGAATTGCGCTCTTCTTGCACCCTAGCTTGGTTTGGGTCCTCCATGCCCCTCTCCAGCTGGGAGGTCCCTTGGTCCCTGTGAAATCTTCGCGCTCTTCCCTGCTGTAGGTGGCTCGGATGTGTCTGGGGTCCCTGTGCTGCACAGCCATCATGTCAGCTTCTGTACTGTGCTCCCTGCGCTCAGGGCAAGGACAGCGCCTTTCCCCCTCCAGTGCAGGTGGTGACAAAGGGACAGAGCTTGGGATTGTGCATGAAACTGGTGACAGAGCGAGGGTTTGGGAGAGCCCACCCTTCCCGGGCTGCGAGCTGAGGATCCTCACAGGCACCATTTCCTGAGGATCGCTGGTGTTTGTGTCTCCTGCCTCAATTTCCCCACCCTTTAAAAGGAGAGACGCTGCTGACCTTCCAGCAAGTACTGTGAGCTGTGGGGCTGACCTGCCCGGGGGGTTTCAGCAGCAGAGGTGGGAGGCCACCGTCAAGGCTAAGAATCTTTAGTCCTCGGCTTGTATTCGGTGTCTCGGAGGCTTGCTGCTCCAGGCTGCCGCTAATCTGTTTTGGGGCCTTAGAAAGCAACAAAGGCTTATCTGAGCCGCTTGCTGAAAATAGAAATGAGTGTCGGGAGGACGTCTCGGTGCGAGGCCCTGCCGACAGCCAGCTGGTGGAAACCTTCCCCGGGCTTTGCTGGGTGCGTGTAAAAGGCTGCCTTTGTTTCCTCCCAGCCCACACACTGACACCGCATTCCTCCTCTTGTTGCCAGATATTCGGGAGGGCTCTCGGTGTTTAATCTCCAGGAGAACCTTGGGGGATTGGAGCCTGAACTGTAAATCCTGGCTCTGCCCGCGCAGGGCACTGGGAGCTCCCGGCTGCCTCCGAGCCTCCCCGTCAGCCCTCTGTATTGACTGTGATTGCAGGCAGACGAGTGGGAGAGCTGGACTGGCCCTTGCTGGGGCAGCGGGGAGAGAAGGCACCGAGCCAAAACTCACCGAATTCAAAGGCTTTTGATGCCGACTGGAGACCTGCATTGAATGGCGCTGCTCAGCCCAGGCTGGGTGATGGAAGGGGATCAATAGGCTGCAGCCCGCCACAGGGCATGTTGGCAGTGAGCTGCCTCTTGGGCCTCTCCTCCTGTCTGCTCGCAGTCCCCTGGAGCCAGCTGGGTTTCTGCAGGGCAGAAAGGAAGAGCATTTGGTTGCCTTCCTGCTCCCCCCTCGCTTCCTGCCCCGAGGCGAGCCTTTCTCCGCAGAGGGACCTGGAGCAGGAGCTGGCCCTCACCCTGCAAGCGGCAAGTGCAAGAGTTAAGCAAGATGAGGAGTCTCTGCCAGGCCACGGCCGGTTCAGCCGCCCCAGCAGCTCGCATGACTGCTCCAGGCAGGGATCGGGCTTCCCTGCTCCACTAACCTCGGATCGTCCCTTTGCTGCCGCTCCGTGCCTTCTGCCCCTGGGTCACCTCTGTGTCACCTTGTCCTTCTGTCTGGGACCAGGGGAGGCAGTGGGTGGAGGCTGTGCTGCGGCGGGAGGCTTGGCACCTTCTCAGAGGGGATTAAAGGGAAATTTGTTTCTGGAAGTCTGGCCCTCTGACGGGTGGTTTCTGGGTGATGGAGGAGGAAATGAGTACAGCCATTTCCAGTCCTTTCTCCCATCTGCTCAGTTTATCCCAAGCTGGGAGACTGCTCCAAGCAGGAAGGTGCTGAGTGCTAAACACACCGTCCCTGCAACCGTGGCACGAAGCAGAGCCTTAGCCACTGCCTGGCACAGAGGGTGCTCAGTCCTTGGCACGGTGCAGAGCTGAGCCGGACAGAAGGGCTTTATGTACCCTGCTGTGACCATGTGCCTGCTGCCAGCACCCTCGGGGTGCGGGTCCCTGCTCTGATCCCGGTTTGTCTGCAGCTCTGCAGAGCCTCGCAGCACCCACTGGCAGGTGTGCTCAGGGCACAGGGCACCCCATGCTGAGAAGGGTTGTGTTTGCGTGCCGTGGGGAGCAGGGCGAGGGGCCTTCCTCCCTTCTTCTGGGTGAAAGATGCTCTCCTCTGAAAGGGCTCTGCTGACGGGACCCAGCCGAGCTGTGGGGATGAGACACCGAGCTGAGGTGGCTCCGGTACTTTCACCGCCCGGGTCTGCGGGCTGGGCTGTGGCCGTTGCTTTCTGCAGCCTAGAGGGTGGATTTGGGCTGTGGCTCGGATGCGTGCTGCTGGGATTGCAGGTTGCCTTGGCTTTTTACCAAGAGTGCTCCCGAGGGCTTGGTTTGGGTGGCTTTTCTTTCTGCTCTGCTCTTAGCTGTCTAGCTGAGGGCCAGCATCTCTCAGCGGTGCTCTCCCAGGTTGTATATCCCAAACTCGAGACTGAAGACGCACCTCGAAGCAGCAGGATGCTGCTGGTTGTGCTCAGGTACCTCAGTGCAGGACAGTGCCTCTTTTCCCCTGGGCTCACTGACCTGTACCGATGTGTTTTGCTCCCCTCAGTACCTGACCGGCTCGGTGAGAGCGGGAAGCAGGCGGTACTCCAGGCTTTTAAGGTGTGCATGAGCTGAGCCCATTTGTGTGTGTTTAGGAGGCACCGTGAGGTTGCATGTTGCATCCAGAGAGATCTTGGAGGGTTATGGGAAGCAGTGATCCTTGTCCCCAAATGAGACTCGATGCTGTGCTGGTGATGAGTGTTTGGAGAGGGGCACACCTGAGGTTTTAGCTGCAACGGCAGCAGACGAGGAGCCTGCAGCTTGGCGGCAGCTGCCCTCATTGTATCGGAGCTCTGTGCTTCAGAGCCGGGCTTGGCTGGTTACGCTGACCGGGCTCTGACACCGCTCTCTGATCACTCGATCAGCCTTTCCATCCCTAACTGCAGGGTTATATCAGACCAGGAAAGCAGTTGTGAGCGGTTGGACTCAACGGTTCATCTCTCACAGGCAGGAACAAACACCAGAGAGAGGCAGTTTGGCCTTGGCAGGAGCAGGCGTTGGCAAGATTCCTGCT